CGCACGCACGCACGCACGCACGCACGCACGCACGCACGCACGCACGCACGCGCGCTCTAAACACTGCAGCAGACAAAAAGGTCAAACATGCTTTTGGCAGCTAATTACATCCAAATAATATTCAGAAACTCTTAAATGCTTCCAATTAAGACCACCACTGTTTTCCTTTGTGGGATTTCACAATAAAAGACGACAACAAAGCGACAACAACAACTTGTGTGGTCGTTGATTGGTCAATGGGGAACAGCTGCAGGACAGAGGAACAATAACAATAACAATTTCCCGACACTAAAGCAAGAAAAAAAACCAAACAAAACAGTGTTTAGGCCTTAAACGTATTTAGACCGAAGACCTTTCATCTAAACCCACAAATCCAAATAATCCAAAATTTGATATCCATGTCCTGAATGACCTTAAATGCAAGTCATTTCATTAAAGTCCTTAAATGTAAATTTCTGAAACTCAGGCCTTAAATCCAACAAACCCCAAATCCATTTCTCAAATCCAACACCGTGAATCCAAAGCCTTAAAGCTTGGACCTTGAATCCAAGGTCTTGAAACCAATACCTTTGAGGCAAAAATGTAAAACCAAAGTCCTTAAAACTAAGACCTTAAATACCAGTCTTTAAAACTGCGTCCAAAAATTCAAGACTTTTAATCTAAGACCTTAACCCAATTTCTTAAAACCAGGACTTCAAATCTAAGTCCTCAAAGCACTTAAACCCAAATCCTGAAAAGTCAGACCTTTACTGCACATCCTTAGAATTCAGTTCTCGTATCAAGGTCCTTAGGTTCAGTCTGAAAATCTGAATCCATCGAACAAAGACCTAAAATCCATAAATGAATATCTTAAATGTAAGACCTTAAAACATCCCCCTTGAAGCTGAGTTCACAAACCAAGGATTTTAAATTTAAGGTCTCAAATCAAAATCCTTATTCCAAGTCCTGATGGTAAAGACACTAAATCCATGATTTCAAATCCAGACATTGAAATCCAAGACTTTAAAACTAAAACCTTAAATCCACATCCTCAAAACTAAGATGTTAAATCCAAGAACTAAAACTCAAAATGCAAGGCCCTAAATCCAAGATATTTAATCCAAGACGTTAAAAGGAGGTCCTCAAATCTAAACACTTACATCCAAAACTATAAAACTAAAACCTGACATCCAAAGCCTTCAAAATACCTCAACAAACACAACTTAAATCCAAGTCCTTAAAACTGAGACGTCAAATCCAACTGAGGGTTGAAAATCCTGAAATGCAAAAGTCTTAAAGAAAAGCCCTTCCAACTAAGACTGCGTGAACGTCTATCCTTCAAATAAAATTCAATGAACCAATTCCCGGACACGGCACATTTTAAAAATCAATGTTCAAAAATGTGTTTATTTGACTAACATTTAGCGTTTTATTAAATGCAGGACATCATTTAACCAGATTCAACTCATGAGATAAATGAAAACAAAATCCATGAAAAATAAATAAATAAATAAATAAACAATGCCTTCCAAGATTGGCTGATAAAAATGGCTGAAAAATTCAAGCAAAAAATCAAACTTCTGGCAATGTAAATGCTCAATTGGCCTCATGAAAGAACTGTAGTGATCTGACTTTGGCGGTTTGCAAATACAGTGAATGGAAAAGCAGAAAAGCTTGCGCTTCTTTCTTCTTGACGTATAATACCCACGTGAGGTCAGCCGTACTGTGTACGGCTCGACCTCGACTCTTGGAGGCAGCCAGCAGAGCCTCCCAAATGATGTTCTAACACAACATCAAAACACGACTTTTCTCGACATGACATCTGCTGTGAGTTCAATGCGTCGTCTCTGGTTAGAGAGGCAGCACATGTACTCACCGAGTCCATTTCAGCTTTTTCCTTGTCAATAAATCGCTGGGTCTCACACCCACATCTTTCTATCACGTACGCCGTGGCGTGTACTTATCACGCTGGAACATGCAATTTACTCCCAAGATTCATTTTGCCTCAAGAGGCACTCCGGTTATTTTATTTATTCATTTATTTTACCGAGTGCATTTTAATGGCTTCTTGCGAAAAGAATGGAGAGTTTTATACGGTCTATGATGAATAATCCTGTATTGATGTGCTGCGATGATTGTATATGCTCATTTAGTTTTCTTGTCTGTGGGTGTCATTGATTTATTTATTTTTTTTATATTTTTGAGTGGCTGGCCCACCTTTAATGAATCATATGCAGTGTAAGAATTATTGCTTATGGGCTCAATGATAAAGTAGACAAAATGCGATCATGCAGATATCAATGACAAATGATGTATTGTGTGGAAGTGGGCTACAAAGTAGAAATGTTAAAGCGAATAACAGACAACATGAACAAAAGTATTGGGACCCGAAGTGGTAGGAGAATATGTATCTTAGGAGAACACACTCTTATTTTCATAAGAAGTGTTAAAGGCAATATAAAATACTGTAAATAAAGTTGTTTTTTTTAAATAACTTTAGAAATAATGATATCACAATTTTACAAGGTGGTATTTTTTCAGCATAAAAAGATTTTTCGATTAAAAAAGAAGTCGAAACGCATGGTGGCATTGAGCCTATCAGTGGCAGGGTGGCACTTACTTGAGCACGTGCGTGGAGCCGTTGATGTGTGTGGCGGCGCAGGCCGCGCGCGGGCCCACCAACACGGAGGGTCGGCGGTAGCGCTTGCGCCCGCAGCACAGGATGCTGAGGAAGGCACGGCGGAAGGACTTGTTGAGGAAGGCGTAGAGGATGGGGTTAAGCATGGAGTTGATGTAGCCCAGCCACAAGCAGGCCGCCCACAGCTGGTCGGGCACCGTGTAGCCGATGAAGGGGTCCACCACGTTGGTGATGAAAAAGGGCGCCCAGCAAAGGCAGAAGCAGCCCATGATGACGCACAGCGTCTTGGCCGCCTTGGTCTCCACGCGCATGCGGTGGTTGCGCTGCTGGTCGGCCGAGTCCGATGACGATGAGGCGCCACCCGCCCGCTGCAGTGCGCCGATCTGGAGGGCGTGCGCCCGCGCCGTCACGTAGATCCGCTGGTAGGCCAGCACCATCAGCACCAGCGGGATGTAGAAGGCCACCACTGAGCACGTCACTGCGTAAGGTTGGTTCACCAGGAACACGCACGACGTGGTGTTGCTGCCTTCCGTGTGGCGACGCTCGTCGATCTGCGTGCACGTGGGACACAACGCTTAAGCAGGACTCGATACACTTCGGGAGAAAAAAAAAAGATTGGTAAAGCAGCACATGGTTCATTGTCCTAGAAATGCCTACAAAAAAGTGTACTACACAGTATTTATCTATAATAACAATAGATATTTGTAATATTCGGGGGGCCCCGGTGGTCCAGTGGTTTGACCTCACAGGGCAGAGGTACCAGGTTAATAGCATGTGAAGAATAAAACAGTTTTTGCCACGTTTTTTGTTTTAATTCAATGGGCATTGTGCTGCTCCTGGTGTGTGCACCGTGGCCACCTGGGGGCACTATAATAGAAACATTTGGATATACAAGCAGACGGTCATGACTTCTCAGCGAGTCGCACCATAACTGGTTGTTCCCCGCAGAGAATAAATAATATGCCTGAGAGTGTTGTTATATTGTTGATCGACATGTGTTGCTCCTCTCTTTGTGTTACATCTTTTTAAAAAAAAAAATCAACATTGTTGTTTCATTTCAGTGTACAATGTGCTGCTCCTTCTGCTATGCGCGTCTTGAAAGGTACAGTGGACCCCCCACACACTCGCAGTTTTGCACCAGCATGTTCACTTATTTGTGATTTTTTTTTTTACATTTGAGGGCCGGCCCAGTCCTTATCATTCTGTATATTGTGCATGGAGCCGGTCGAACCGCTTCAGTAAGCCACAGTAATATTAGTTGTCTTTCACAGAGGATAAAAACTACGCTATATCCTTGTGAGTTGGGCAAAGTGATCTGGGTAAAAAGGGTATCATGATATGAGTATTTCATATCAGTCGATTTCTCTCTCTCTCTCTCTATCTCTCTCTCTCTCTCTCACACACACACACACACACACACACACACACACACACACACACACACACACACACACACACACACACACTTCTATCATTTTATATATGTATATTTTTATATTCTCAATAAAACGTCAGTGACAACAAGGCAAACTAACTAAGACCATCTGGATGTGGAATTTCTCCAAAACTGAGTCACTGTCAGCGCTCAGGACTTTTAATTGGACCCTCAGAAAGGAAAGAAGTGACAAATGACACTGAACTACTCTTTGTGTGTGTGTGTGTGTGTGTGTGTGTGTGTGTGTGTGTGTGTGTGTGTGTGTGTGTGTGTGTGTGTGTGTGTGTGTGCGTGTGCGTGTGTCTGGGCAAAATTGGACCACGAGCCAGGACACCAAGTGAGGGTGAGCGAGGTTAAAACAGAGGCTCAGGTCTGACAAGATGACGCCTGCCTTGCATTCCATCGAAGCAATAAATGCCACGAAATACAAAATATCTTCTTTAAAAGGCTTTTTGGAGGCTATTTTGGAACAAAAGGACTCATTGAAGGATTAATGCAATTTGTGTGTTGTTATTAGGCAACAATTCAACATTCAAATTGTTTTGGTAGTTGCCTCGAAGGGTGTCAGTGAGTTCCATAAAAAGCATCTGCGGGCTTCGTCTGTGTTGTCCATATTCGCCTTTCATCGTTTCTTAATTAAAAGCAGTATTTAAGAAAAAAAGAATCCATCTATTTTCCAAGTCACTATTCCTCATATACGAGAATAACATCGTTCATCATCATAAAGTTAGAACAAAACATTTTACGAGTACAACACAGCAATCAGGTGTTTGCTGCCATTTCTATGAACTGAATTCAAATATCAAAGGCTCTTTCCACTCGAAGGGCCTATTTCTAGAAATATTGAGAACAAATCCGTCCACGGTTGTGTTGTTGAGGACTTTCCCTTTGCTGAGATCAGCCTTTGGCTGCCCACAAAAAAAGGTCACTCTATAAAACGTGCAGTTTGACTGTACTGGGGAGGAAAGAGGTCGTATTGTGGTAGGGTGAGAAAACCAATCACTATCTGCTGTGAGCACAGTTTGCCTCACAGACTATGATGTATCATGTTTTCAAGACAAAAAGCTGCAATCGTCATGGGCTTTTCTTTTTCTCCAAGAAAAATAAATTACTTTTTTTAGAGAAAAGCTGGAATCCTGTGATAATTTTTTTTCCTGATTCAAAAAAGTTCAACTGTTGCTCTTCTCGCAAAACTCATAGTGAGAACCCGGATAAATGTCAGACATTTTCCCCAAAAAGGTGCAATTGTATCAAAGTAGAGTCAGACTTTTATTCAAGATAAGCAGTTGCAATGCTAGACATGGACACTTACCACATGGTCGATGCCGATGGTGTTCCATCCTTGCATGATGGGCAGGAAGGAGATGAAGGTGGGGATTACCCAGCATCCGCCAATCATAAGGGCCACGCGCATGGGTGTCATTTTGTTGCGGTACACCAAAGGCTGGCAACAGATCGCGTAGTACCTGCACACATGCACAAACGTATAGTTAAATATAGTTACATTATTTTCAAAAGTGACATGTCACACAGTGTCAGCATTCACGATAAAATGGCTCACATTGTGTTTCCTGTTTATGCCACATGCTTGTTGCTAGGCAGAGTTCAGACTATGAGACACATTGATTTTACAATTGCACTGTTTGAAATATAAACAAGACCTTTGACAAACAATGCTGAATGCGATGGGGAACTGCCCTCACTGTCCCTAAAGCAGACTGAACAGTTGCTTCCATCAAGGATTGTGTTGTCTGACGCACCATCACACCCATTTAACGATTTTCACGTCCATATTTGGACTGAAACCACTTCCTGTTTATGTGTGACAATTGATCAGTATTGAGCGGAAACACAACAACAGCACGGGGTCTGCTCGCTTTCGGGAGCTTAAACCTCGGTACTGTGAAACATATGTGCTAACCAGCTGGCCTGGGTGACGGCCATGCAACGTATCCACAATCTTTATCGATCACATTTCTGAACATAAGCGATTGTTCAGAACCTGAACAAGATTGGCGATCTGATCCTCTCTGTCAACTCCCTGGTACTTTGCATACTCCTCAGCATGTCTAGTTGAGTAATGACATAAGATTACTTGAGCCACGCAATTTTCTCTGCGCATTCAAAACATGGGCACAACAAAAAATATTCAGTCCACTCTTTCTTGAAATTGGCTGTTCTTGTCACCAATCTTTCTCTTCGTGACATTTTTTGAAAATACATGCCAGGGACAGGATGTCTTTTCCTTCTGGTTGCTGTCACTTCAGAATGATATTTTACTGAAAACTGTCGTCCGCCTGAACCACCGTAGCCACAAAGTGACAATAAATGAATAAATAACACGCACGCACGCACGCACGCACGCACGCCACTCACGCACGCACGCACGCACGCACGCACGCACGCACGCGCACACACACACACACACACACACACACACACACACAAAGCAGCCCTCAGGTTGAGAGTTTGAGACCTCTGCCATATGTGGATGACATCCGGAACATGTTTAGACTAGATGGAGATAAAATCTGGATCACATGTAGACTAGATGGAGTTGAAAACGACAATATGTTGATCACATCTGGAACTCATCTAAATCTGGACTACATGTAGATGTAGATCACATCTGGATTACATGTATGCTATTTGAAGACCACATCTGCACCACATGCAGATTGTACAATATCTGGACCACATGTAGACTGAAAGTAGATTGCATCTATCAAACAAAAGCAAAAAAATACATACATAAAGAGACATTTCACACAATTTGGAGATAAATATTTTTCGTTGAGCAGAGATGGTGAATATGTTGCTTAACTGTAATATTCACAGTATACTGTATACGTGCTCATTTTAGTTTATTTTGTGGTATAACAACTGTGTCAACACTATAGATTATAGTAGTAGCGCAACAAAAAATACGGGGAAAAAAACACATTTGGTTTGTTATGACACAATTTATGATATCTGAGCGTGTCACATGTCTTCATTCTGCTCTTTTGTGGCTCAGTATCCGTCTTCATTCATTTTCTCATTCTTCCGTTGCTCTTTTGGGGAAGGAAGGAGACGTTGTGTGGCGCAGCTGTTCACTTCTTCATGCTTTTTTTCTCCGTTTCCCCTCCTGTTGTCTTCTTGCCCTCCCAACGCCTTCGTTGAACAAGAGACGATAAGCCCGCTGCAGGCCAAACGCTCCATTCTTTTGTGTCTGATTATGAAAGCTGCTGTAAATGAGCTGACTGAATGCGTCTCTTCTCGCTTTCCGCGTCTTCATTCAACAATGCGCTCCATATTCTGTGACAGGAAAAACCTGCCAGGAGCGGCCGACTCATATGAAGGTTCAACACACATGGAGACGACACAAAGATCACATCAGGACTCCATATAGACTGGATGTACCGTATTTTCCGCACTATAAGGCGCTTCGGAGTAGAAGGCGCACCTTCAATGAATGGCCTATTTAAAAACTGTTTTCACATATCACATATAATGTGCACCAAATTATAAGGCGCATAGAATAGAAGCTACAATAGTGGCTGTGGTTGCATTATGCAGCCACTAGATGGAGCTACGCTAAAGAGAATAAAATACAATACAATACAGCTTGCTTTATCTATGAAGAGCTTTCACAAGAGCTGTCAACGTGTTGCGATCTAAGTTTGCGTGTGACCACATCTCGACCTGTAGGCTATACGACACTGTAAGTAGATCAACTCGGAATCACATCTACTTTGTATACTACAAGAGGATCAAATCTGAATCACACATAGTCTATCTGTGGCTCGAATTGGGAACACATAAAGACTATTTAAAGATCACATCTTGACCGCATGTAAAGGAGATGTGCATCACACATGGATCATATACAAGTACAGACTGCAGACATACATTATGGACGACATCTCCACTTCTGAAAATCATATCTCAAGCACTTGTAGACGATGGGTTCCATTACCATCTACTGTATGGCGCGTGCAGAAGTGCTGCTGTGTTCCAGATATCCGTGCAGGCACAAGCCTCTCTGTGTCTGTTTGGATTTTTGGCAGGTCCTTCTACGCCAAACTGGGTGTTTCAGCATAACCGGGGTGTGTCCTTCGATATGCGTCCGGCACAAGTGACAGTTTGATGTCGGACAGTCGTCGATGGATTTTCAACAATACAGGGTGTACTCTGAGCTACCGTGTTACTGGATAGGTACTCTCATGCAGTGCCATGAAGCCGGCACACAGGCACTAGCACCAATCATCAGCTAACTTCTTCACACAAAAATTGTTGGGTTCAGGAGACCGCAAAATCACTTTCATGCCACATGTCAGGCTTCAGCAACTTCCCTCCATGCGGACATGTACAATCAGAGTGGAAAGCTGTCTCCAATTGCCCACTTCACAGATCTGTGATCCCCTGGCCCAAGTGGCGGTCTGCTTGGAATTCCTGAAAAACTTACTTTGTGTACTTGAACCTCCTGCATGGACTCCAGCACATCAGTTTCTCCTGCCGCCATGTTATGGACCGTGCACCTCCCGCACACCAATTTTAAAAAGAACGAGAAGAGCTGCTTCTATTGGCAGTGAATCAAGTCGGCTGTGTTCATACCCACAACAGCGTAAAACGCACATTTAAAACACAGCCAAGCTATGTACGTCTCCAAAACCCCTTCCTGCGCAGATTTAGACCACGCACAATGCCAAAGTTGTGCTAGGAATGAAAATAGATCCTAGACCCCGAAAATGTTTTTGACCACATGTAGACAATATGTGAAGCATATCCAGACCATTTTTAGACTGTATGTACTGTAGCTCACATCTGGACCAACCCGAGATGTCATAGGTAGGGAATATCTGGATCACATGTAGACCACAAGTAGCCCAGATAGACTGTTTGTGAACCATGTCTAAGAAATATGTAGATCACATCTGGACCTTTTCGAGACTCTACAAAGATGATGTCTGGATCTCACTCAGATCACAAGTGAAGTGAACCACATGTACAGGAGGCTACAGTACGGCATCGGCATGAAGCATTCAATGACGCTTGTGGTTCACAACAACATGGATACTCACTGAAAGACAAACGACTTTTGTTAATCTTGCCAAGGTGCCCCCAAAATGACTGCGGGCCACTGACAGGATCACTATGCAGCACTAATTACTGTCCTGTACATAGTTAGACCTGAGGGAGGCAGTCCGTGACAGCATCAAACCTTCAAACAAGGTCACTAAAGCCAACTGCAGCAGAGGGTAAAAGTTTGTCCATGCTGAACAGGCACAGCTCCCACCTGACATAATATTGGAGCATAAAGTGAGCAACGCGAGCAGGAGAATCCAAAGTATCTAGTCTACATCTTTATCTCAGTGATTGTTCTTGACAAACAGCGGCAATGTGGTGGTTGTCGCGAACATTACTTTTATTCATTTCACTGTCGGTTATTTCTTGTCATTCTGTTTATTCCTCTCATGTGAGGTGGCAGTTATCATGTGAAACAAATTAAATATAATGAAAGAAATGGCAGTGAGAGGGAAGATGAGGCATGATGTGATGATGATGACTGCAGGGGTCCCACGTGGGCTAATAGAAACCGATTATCTCACAATGAATTGTTAACAGAAGGTCCCGGGGTTGCGGGGGTAGCTGGACAATGTAGACCAGGGTCAAAGCCTCTTATCAGTCCCCATGCCAGAATACCCCCCCCCCCCCCCAGGCACGCATACTCAAACGCAGATGAGGAGTGTTGCATTGTGTTTTCATCATAATTTGGTAAAATCTGACACGGGTGAAGAACAAAGGGCTTTTCGCTCCCTCTGAATTCCATCATTCCGCATGGAGGGAAAAATTCATCCCCAGTGAATGCCCCAACAGACTCTGACAGACATCGCACATGACACGTGCCACAAGAAAGGCCGCCGGACCACGGTTTGCCAGATTGCATGGTGACCCATCTGGACCTCAAATCACCACCAGCATGTATTCAGCCATGTTTTACAGCAATGAAAACTGTTCTTAGGTGTATTGTGGGTCAAAATAGGCGATTAAGAAGTACAAAACTTAATTCAATAAAGTTTAAACATAAATAAAAACAAGAATACATTAATCCACCCATCCATTTTCCAATCCGCTTATCCTCACAACGGTCACGGGCATGCTGAAGCCTATCCCAGCTGCCTTCGGCCAGTAGGGTGACACCCTGAACTGGTTGCCAGACAATCGCAGGACACGCAAACAAACAACCATTTACGCTCACAATCACACCCAGGGACAATTTAGAGTGTTCCATCACTCTTATCATGCGTGTTTTTGGAATGTGGGAAGAAACCAGAGTACCCGGAGAAAACCCACTCAGGCACAGGGAGAACATGCAAACTCCACACAGGAAGGCTGGAGCCGGAATCGAACCCTGCACCTCTGCACTGGTAAGCATATCCGCATGGATGTGCTTACCAGTCAATCAACATACCGCCAAGCAAGAACAAGCAAGATGTCCTGTCTCTCTCTCTCTCTCTCTCTCTCACACACACACACACACACACACACACACACACACAC